TCGGTCAAATAAATAAATAAAATCTTAAAAAAAAAAAAAAAGTCTATCCAGAGACAGGCTAAAAGTTGGGTGAAATGCTCAAAACTAGCAAAAAAAAGGGGGGGGAGTATAAATAGGATGGATGGGTGATTCCGAGCAGGAATCATGCAAAACTACGTAACTTGGATCGAGTGTGAATTTTAGCCCAACCTGCAGAAGGGGTCAGAGGATGGGGTGGAGAAAGGGGAGGAGAGTCTCTTGCATGGCTCATGCTCCCAACTCTTTAGGTCAATGACCCCGCCTGATGGGGATAGGGACAGTGGCTTCACCAGGAGCCCTCCAGCCTTAAGTGGGAAGGGAATCCCCTGAGGACATCCGGAACCAATGTCCCTACCTTGTTCTGCACGCGGGAGCGGTGGGAGGACCCGGGTCGGGGCGCTGCGCCGCCAGAGCCGGACCGCCACCCTCACCCCCACCCCAGCACGCTCACCGGTCACCGCCTTGGCCTCCCCTCCTCTGGCAGCTCACGACGAAGACTCTCGTCGCCACCACCTGCAGCAGCACCAGACGGAGCCGCGGCCCCGCCAGGCCTCCGCGCAGCGCCCTCCCGCGGATGGCTCGAGAAACTGCGTTTCCGTGGAGAAGCAGCTAGAGCAGGGCGGGTCACAGGTCACTAAAATTTTAGGACGTGGTGGTGTTCAAGAGAGAAAGCGCGTGGGGGGCGTCGTCCCCGAGTTGAGACATTTTAGAAGTGTGTTTCAGTCCTGCACTAAAAGAGGCAAAGGAAGGCATTTGGCAGAGGATAGCTGTTCCCCAGTACCTTCTCCCTTTCTTCCCTTGGCTGTATTAAAACAGCCAAATTGTAGGTGAGTACACAGTCTTCCAGAACAAAAGCTACATCTCTGAACTTCGGGCATAGCCAGTTATTACCTCAGGATTAAGTTCTGGCCAAAACAATATAAACCGAAGTGCTGTGTGTATGACTGATTTCCAAGAAATGTCCTTAAAGGGAGAAGTGATGATCTTTGTCAGTCCCTCCTCCTGCCGGTTGGTTAGAATGCAGATGTGATGACCGATGCACCAGCAGCCACATTACACCATGCAGTGGAAGCTACCCGCCGAGGATGGTTAAGTAACACTATTCTGTGCAAAGTAAACTGGTCCCTGACGCTAAGGGTACTCTGCCCATCCTATGTGGTCTACTTCTGTATCTCTTTTACATAAGAGAGAAATGGATTTCCATTATATTTCATTCACACCATTATTGTTTGGTTTTCTGTCTCACATAACTGAACTGAATCCTAACCAATAAACAGAGGAGATAAAAATCCTCTTTGCCGGCAGAAGTGGAGCAAGGATGTAACAGAAGTAGTGGTCCCTTGTGTTAACAAAGGTTTAGGAGAAGCTCAAGATAAAATTCCTGAAATTTCTATCCATTTTTAAGAACAGGCTCAAATCCTTGACCATCTCCCTTCATAACCAGAGGGGGTCCCTGTTAGTTCTTGTGCCTGATGACTGCCCACAGCACCTTCTTCTGGTCCACACAGTCTCAGGAGGTCAGTTTGGACTGACTGTGGGGACACCTAGTCCAGCATGGCTCCTCATGTGATCCTCAGACCACCCCCATGAGACTACCCTAACGACTTGCTAAAACTGCAGACTTTAAGGACTCTGCCCAACACCAGATGGATCAGTCCCTCCAGTGGTCCCCATGATTCCGACAGACACTCAAGTCCAATCCACCATTTTACTTGTGGGGAAACTGAGGCCCAGGAAAGGGGTGGAATTCTCCAGAAGTCTGACAGCAGAGCACTAGGCAAGAACCCACTAATCAGGTCCTCCAGTCCAGGGTTTACTCCAATGCCATGTGAACCCTCTGTCCTGGCTCTCTCAGGTGGTCCCTTGCTAATTTAAAGACTGAGATGGGACACGATCTGCACGGCCTCCTCCATCCTCACAATCCTGGGACAAACTGCAGGCTGAGGATACACCTGTGGCCCCTCAGCACATCTCTCAAATTTGCTTGCAGCTGCAGAGCCCCGGCCACACCTACTAAGCAGGAACAGGACCTTCCTGCCCTCGGACTCCATGCAGACTTGCAGATTCATCTGCCTGGACATTCAACTGACCCCTCCCTGAGCCAGGGCCTGGGGAAGCACATCAGGGGCTCTCCAGAAGCAGGACACCCTCCTGGGATCCCAACCTATGCCCTACCAGACCTGCTGCCCTTCCTCCCATTTCCCCCGTGCAGCCCTGCCCTGCCCTCCCTGTGCCTGGGGGATGGGAAGGATGGTGTTGACATAAATGGCTGCATCTCTTCCTGCCCCAGATTCTCAAGCATCCTCAGATGCCCCTTCCCCCTCCCTCTCCTGCTGGCTGAACTTCCATTGCCCACCCCCTCCCCTGGAAAGAATAAAGCTCTGACTGCTCAGAACACTGCACGACCTGTTTTGCCCTTACCTCCCATGGATACCCCACAGGTACTGCCCCATTGATGCCATGCCCAAGCAGGCGGGAACTACCTTTGTCCTTGCTCTCAACTCCAGCCCCTGCAGACACATCCGAGCACCTTTTCCCTTGGCAAAATCCGTTTACTCCCACCCAGCTGAATATAGGGTCTTTTTCCCTGGGAGATTCCAGCCCATTCTGGATGCCCTGTCCTTGACTCAAAGGCGGGTCCAGTCTGAGGTCAGCATTGACCTCTCCAAGGAGGTCTCTGCTGGGCCAGCTCCTACAGCATGCCTTGTCCTTTCACCTTCTAAGCCATGTAAGGTATCACTAGTTCATAACTACCTGGGCTATAAGCTGTCTCTATCCTCCCTAGGAGCTCATGATTTAAAGTCAGGTGAGGGGGCGCCTGGGTGGCTCAGTCGTGAAGCGTCTGCCTTCGGCTCAGGTCATGCTCCCAGGGTCCTGGGATAGAGCCCTGCATCGGGCGCCCTGCTCAGCAGGAAGCCTGCTTCTCCCTCTCCCACTCCCTCTGCTTGTGTTTCCTCTCTCGCTGTGTCTCTCTCTGTCAAATAAATAAATAAAATCTTAAAAAAAAAAAAAAGTCAGGTGAGGCACCCGCGTGGTACAGCCCATTCTGGAAAGTGACAAGGAGACAAGCCCCCATCACTACCAGGGTCTTTTACGGGCCCCAAATCCCTACCGCTTCAGGCCTGGAGCAGGCCTCTGCTCATTCACTCACAGTTTGTTTTCATCATTCTAATAATTCATAATGACCACCCTCAGAAACCTGCCTCAGGTCCTTCTCTCCCGCAGTAACACCAACTGTCCATTTTTCTGTCCCCTACCCAAACCCACAAGCCTTATGCCTGCTCTTGAGGGAGTGGTACTGGGGAAGTGGTCTGACCAGTGGGGAGCTCTCAACCAGTGGGGCCAGGACGCTGAAAGGAGGATGCAGAAAACCTCGGTGTTCACGCGGGGTATTTGGGGTGCCTGAAGAGCGAAGGGCGGAAAGTGGAAATGGTGAGAACAGACTGTGTGAGGTTAATCCCAGCACGCCCAAACCCCGTACCAGTCTCCGAGGCCCGAAGCGGCTCCCTTCGGCGCCATCTGGCGGCCGTCGCGCGCGAGCGGAGAGGGGACGCAGCGCGGGTCCCCGGGCCTGCGGGGGCCGGTTCCCGCGGGGCGTATGGGCTGGGGGGCGCCCAGCTTGGAGAGCCGGGACCGCGCGGCCCGGGGCGGGGAACGTCTCTGGATTTGGACGGACCCTATGAACCCCACCAGGCCCCGAGAAGACCCGGGGACGCCGGCCCCCAACCACCGTACACCCGGGGCCGCAGGCCGGGTCGCCGCGGGGCGCTGGGCGCCCGAGTCAACGTGCGCGCGCCCGCACGCCCCACGCACGCCCCACGCAGCATCCCGCACCGCCGCGTGCGCGCACGCACACCCCGACGCTTGCCCGCGCCGGCCGGTCTCCCACGCAGCGAGCGGGCCGTGGGCGCCGGAGCCCACTGTTCGGGCGTGGAAGGCCTTTCCGAGGGGCGCACTCCTGCGGCCACACCGATGCACGCTTTTTCCACCCTCACCTCGGGCGTGGGGACGCGGCCGCACTGTTCCTATGGGTGATCCCCTGGAGGGGGGGGTCGTGGGGGCCCGTGCGGCCCAGGCCCCTCAGAGCAGCCTGGGGGCTGCCGGGCCAGGCCGCTCCCACCTGCCGGCCGCGGCGGCCAATGAAAGCCTGGTCTGGTGATGTCATGCCCCGACCGGACCCTGGTGACGAAAGTCCCAGGTCACCCGTCAGGGAACCAGTGCAAACCCACCCGCGGGGGTTCCGGAAGTTTCCACTGCGGCAGCGGAGTGCGGCCTCGCCCCGCAGCCTTGCGCGTGCCACCACGTTTTGCCTTCTGGGGTGTCCCCGAGTCACCTCTCCCTTGCCCCGGGGGTCTTCTTCGTGGGCCCCCCCTTCATTTCCACTCGTGATCTCATGTTCTCACCTTCATTCCCACAGGTGTGCCCTCATCCCCCAGGAGTGTCCCACGTCACCTTTTCTCCGCCAGTACCACCCGGACCCCTAAGGGGGTCCTCAGCCACACTTTCACGTGCCAGTCCTCCCATGCCACCCCTGCTGTGTCCTGGCCAAGGATGTTCATTTATTCGGCCCACAGTCCTGACTGAGGCTGTCAGTGTGTCCGAGTGTGTGTCCGTCCGTCTGTGAATGTCGGTCACCGTTTGTCTGGAGCTGTCACTGCCTGCGACTGTCCGTCTGCGTCTGTCTCCGCGGCTTCTGTCTGTCACTGTGGATGTCTGCCTGCTCCGCCGCTGCGGGTCTTTCGGTCGTGTCACCATGTGTCTGTCCGTCTGTCGGCGTCTGTCACTGGAGTCCGTCCGGGCCCCGGGGGTCTCTGGGTCTCGGCTCCGAGGGAGGAAGAGGGAGGGGAGGTGGCAGCCGGGGGAGGCGGGGAGGGGCGGGGGCGGAGACAGTGGGCGGGGGCGGGGGCGGGCGGGGGCGCCGTGCGGCCCGGAGGGGGTGTGTGCGGGGGGCCGGAGGCGGCGGCTGTCAGAGTCGGCTCAGCCTGCGCCGGGGAACATCGGCCGCCTCCAGCTCCCGGTGCGGCCCGGCCCGGCCCGGCTCGGCCGCCTCAGGTGAGTCTCCCGCCCCGGCCGGGACCCTCCCCCGGCCCGCGGCCCATTCCGCGTCCGGGAAAATGTGCGCTCCGGGAGGGATCCGGGCCCCCAAACGGGACGCCCACCGCGCCCCCGGGCCTGCCCAGCGACGCCCCCCGCCGCCCCACACTCATCCTTAACTCTTCCCTCGCCGCCGCATACTTACTGTCGTCCGCGCGGGAGCCGGCACCCCGCAGGGCCGGCCGCCTCTTCTGTTCTCGAATTCCTGTGGGGACCCCCGAACGCCCCTTCCCCCGCCTGCCCCCAAGTGTGGGGCCACTGGAAGACGCCCCCTGCTTGGGGCGGAACCCGAGCTGCGCAGGTTGCTGGCGCCGGGCTGACTCCCCCCCCCCCAGATCCCGCAATCCCGGCGCCCCTGCGCAGCGCCCAGCCGAAGCCCCCTCCGAGGCCCAGGCGTCCCCCTCCCACGGGGACTCCGTCTCTATTTTGGGGAAAGGGGAGGCTCAGCGGAAGCCCCGAGTTATAATTAGCCCCACTCGGGTTTCCTAGTTAATCCCCCGCACCACCACCACCACCCCAACCTCAGGGCGGCGGGGGTTGGCTGGGTGAGAGGTGACCGCCGCGGGAGGGGGGAGTTCCGACCCGGGGAATTTTGATCCCTTGGCTGGAGATGCCGGAACCACAGCAGCTGCTGCCCCAAAATAGCGCCCTCGCCCCTGCAGCCGGGGATCTCCGGAGCTCCGAGAACACAGGCGTCCCGGTTCGCCCTTCAGACCCCTCCGCAATGCCCGCGAGCCTCCAGACCCCCGCCCCAAGTTCCCGGCTCCCGGACTCGGGGCGGGGAGTGCCGTCCTTTTCTCGGTCTCTACTGCCCCCCACTGGCGGCAGCGTTCCCCGCAGCATCGGACGGATGGGGGACTCGAGTCCTGGGGGACCCGGGCTGGCGAGCCTGATCTCTGAGGCTAGGCGAGGCGAGTGCGCAGCTGACCGGCACCCGCGGGTACCAGCGCCCCGTGCCAGACAGTGGACGAGGAGGGGCAGGGTGGGGCAGGGTGTGGAGTAAGCAGGATTTGGGGTGCCCCGAGACCTGTAGCTCCCACAACCCTTGAACGCCCAACCCACCCCCCAGGGCCCCCGACCCTGGCCAACTCAGGACAGGCTGCGCCTTCACGCCACCCCAAGCTTCCCCAGGGGCGCCTCCCGTCAGTGAGGGCCCCGCCCCTGTCGGATGGCCTGTGTGTGGATTGCGGCCTCTGGTGCGGGTGCCCGCACTGCTCGGGCTGGGCCCAACCCAGTACACCCAGCTAGGGGAAGGAGGTGAGGGTGCTGGGCGCTCTGTGGGGCAGGGGAAGGGATTGCCTGGCAGGCCTCATCTCTGTTCCTTCCGTCCGTCTGTCTGGGTGTTGTGTAGTGTGCCTGATCTCTGTCCCCTCTTGCTTCTCCCTGTCTGCCTGTGTCCTTGTCTGTGCCTGTCTCCCTCCCTCCATTTCTCTCCTCTCTACCAACCTGCCCCACCTCCTCTGCAGCTCAGTGATAACCCCTGGGCAAGAGTGTTACCTAATCTCCTCCCTCCTGGCAGCCTCAGGCCTTCACCCTCTGCCTTTCTTTCTCCCAGCAGACGCCTGCCTGCCCTGGCAGTCATGAGGCCCCCCTGGTGTCCCCTGCACACGCCCTCCCTGGCTTCCCCAATCCTTCTCCTCTTCCTCTTCCTCCTGGGAGGAGGGGCAGAGGCTGAGGACCCAGAGCTGCTGGTGACTGTGCGTGGGGGCCGGCTGCGGGGCATTCGCCTAATGGCCCCTGGGGGCCCTGTCTCCGCTTTCCTGGGCATCCCCTTCGCAGAGCCACCTGTGGGCCCCCGTCGCTTTCTGCCACCGGAGCCCAAGCGGCCCTGGCCAGGGGTGCTGGACGCCACAGCCTTCCAAAGTGTCTGCTACCAATATGTGGACACCTTGTACCCCGGCTTTGAGGGCACCGAGATGTGGAACCCGAACCGAGAGCTGAGTGAGGACTGCCTCTACCTCAATGTGTGGACACCATACCCCCGGCCTGCGTCCCCCACCCCTGTCCTCGTCTGGATCTACGGGGGTGGCTTCTACAGTGGGGCCTCCTCCCTGGACGTGTATGACGGCCGCTTCCTGGCCCAGGCTGAGGGGACCGTGCTGGTGTCCATGAACTACCGGGTAGGAGCCTTTGGCTTCTTGGCCCTGCCAGGGAGCCGGGAGGCCCCAGGCAACGTGGGTCTACTGGATCAGAGGCTGGCACTACAGTGGGTGCAGGAGAATGTGGCAACCTTTGGGGGCGACCCAATGTCAGTGACTCTGTTTGGGGAAAGTGCCGGTGCTGCCTCAGTGGGCATGCACCTGCTGTCCCCCCCCAGCCGGGGCCTGTTCCACAGGGCTGTGCTGCAGAGCGGCGCACCCAACGGCCCCTGGGCCACAGTGGGTGTGGGAGAGGCCCGCCGCAGGGCCACACTGCTGGCCCGCCTCATAGGCTGTCCCCCGGGGGGTGCTGGTGGCAATGACACAGAGCTGGTCGCCTGCCTGAGGACACGGCCAGCTCAGGACCTGGTGGACCACGAGTGGCATGTGCTGCCTCAGGAAAGTGTCTTCCGCTTCTCTTTTGTGCCTGTGGTGGATGGAGACTTCCTCAGTGACACACCCGAGGCCCTCATCAATGCCGGAGACTTCCACGGTCTGCAGGTGACTAGTGGCTAGAAGGGGTGGAGCTGGTTCCTCTAGGCCTGTTCTCCTGCCCGCCCCACCCCCCACCCCCGGGGACCCAGGCATGAAGGCTCCTCAAGATCCAACTCCCAAAGGCCTGGGCTTCTGGCCCCAGGGCTGCCCCCTCCTCCCTGAGAGCTCAGATCCCAGGGTGGTCAATGGGGCAGAGAGAAAAGGAAACATGGGTACATTTTCTCTTTCTCTCTGTCCCTTCCCCAACCTCATACTCTCTTCCTCCATGGTTCTGGGGTCTATAACTATTGATCTCTCTGGCTCTTTGTCCATCTGTTTCTGTCTGCCTGTCTGTCTGTACCCCCCCATCCCTCCATCCTGTCCCCCCAGGTGCTGGTGGGTGTGGTGAAGGATGAGGGCTCCTATTTTCTGGTTTACGGGGCCCCAGGCTTCAGCAAAGACAACGAATCTCTCATCAGCCGGGCCCAGTTCTTGGCCGGGGTGCGGGTCGGGGTCCCCCAGGCGAGTGACCTAGCTGCCGAGGCTGTGGTCCTGCATTACACAGACTGGCTGCACCCTGAGGACCCGGCACGCCTGAGAGAGGCCATGAGTGATGTCGTGGGCGACCACAACGTCGTGTGCCCCGTGGCCCAGCTGGCTGGGCGACTGGCTGCCCAGGGTGCTCGGGTCTATGCCTACATCTTTGAACACCGCGCATCTACGCTCTCCTGGCCCCTCTGGATGGGGGTGCCCCATGGCTACGAGATCGAGTTCATCTTTGGGCTCCCTCTGGAACCCTCGCTAAACTATACCGCCGAGGAGAGAACCTTTGCCCAGCGACTGATGAGATACTGGGCCAACTTCGCCCGCACAGGGTCAGCAGTACTGAGGGGAGGAGGGCCTCCAGGAGCCAGAGAAGCAGGAGCAGGGGACAGAGAGAGAGGAAGACTAACAGACAGAAAGGGCCGGAGAGGGAGGGAAAAGTTCACAAAAGGAAGGAGACAAAGACGGAGACAGAATGACAAAGGAGACTGGAGAGGAAAACAGGATGGCAGGTCCTGAAGAATCGGGGACCAAGGGGGAGGGAAGCGAAGAGCAGCAGAGAGACAGGGAGACAAAGGAATTACCATAGTACTTAGGAGCTTGAACTGGAGAGAGCTGGATTCAATTGGGCCAGTGGTGATTTTATTAGCTGTGACATGTGCACATGCATATGTACTCACACACCAGTTTACCTGTCCGAAGAAGGGGACCCTAAATCCGACATCACATGGGTGTTGTCAAAAGCAAAAACAAGGTATTTGTAGAGCTAGGACTGAGCCTGCTTGCATAGTGAGGGCTCATAAATCGTAGGGATGTATTAAATGGGAGAAACAAAGACAAAGGTGGAGCAGTAAAGCCGAGGGAAAGGCAGAAAGAGGGAGGGCAGGAGGAAGGGGATGGCTCCAGATGATGGGGGATCCGGGAGACCAGAAAGAGGGGTTAAAGAGGTGGTGGGAAGGAGGGAATGTGTTCTCCAGGGAGCCGAAGAGCGCACGGGTCGGAAGCAGCCTTCCTCCTGCTCTCCATCTCCGGTCCACAGTCCCAAGGGCGGGCGGGGCAGGCTTGCCTGAGGCTGAGCCTTCCCTTTCCTTCCGAAGGGACCCCAATGACCCCCGGGACCCCAAAGTCCCGCAGTGGCCACCGTACACGGCGGGAGCGCAGCAGTACGTGAGCCTGAACCTGCGGCCGCTGGAGGTGCGGCGGGGGCTGCGCGCCCAGGCCTGCGCCTTCTGGAACCGCTTCCTACCCAAATTGCTCAGCGCCACCGGTATGCAGGGGCCAGCGGGCAGGGGCTGGGCGGAGGAGGGCAGAAAAGGGGCGCGAAGAGAGAGAGGGGAGTGGAAGCCGGCCGGGTGTAACCCCTCTCTTCTCCACCCCCCCCCAGCCTCGAAGGCTCCCAGCACCTGCTCAGGCCCCGCCCACGGGGAGGCCGCCCAGAGGCCCAGGCCCGGCCTTCCCCTGCCCCTTCTTCTCCTCCTCTTCCTCCACCTCGCCGGCTCCTGCGGCTCTGACCACGGCCACTTACCCCTCCGGCCTCAGGGGGCCCCCCTCCTCTAATGAGTGGTCGGACAGTGGGGAAGGGCCCCACTCAGGGATCTCCGACCCAGCGCACCCTCCCTTCTCAAACCGAGAGACTCAAACTGGCCAGGGCTGGGAGGGGATGGTGACCTATGACCCGTCTCAGGGATCCACACGCCTTTGTTGTTTAAATGGAAATGAAAAAGCCAATTTTCTTTTTTTATAAAATTATTTGGAGCCGGAGCCTGGTGTTGGGGGGAGAGGGAAGGCCGGGAGCTAGATAGCACCCCCTAGTGGGGCTGTAACAGTCAACATTTCTGTCTCTTCTCTTTTCCCCACCAACCCACGGGTCCTCCCTCTTCTGATCCTTTCTGTCCCCCTGTCTAACGGTCATTTTCTCCTCCCCCCACCCCTTCCTTCCCGCCATCCTTCTCCGGCCCCGCCTCCACTCTCATCCTTCCTCTGGTCTTCCGTCTTTCGCATATTCTTCTGATCCTCTTTCCACCGTCCTGCGTGCCCTCCTGCATTCTTGTATCCTCCTGCACTCACGCCCCCCACCATATACGTTCCCTGACCTTCCCCTTGTCCTCCTCCAACCCACTTGCCGGGCGCCCTGGCCGCAGACACGCTGGACGAGGCGGAGCGCCAGTGGAAGGCCGAGTTCCACCGCTGGAGCTCCTACATGGTGCACTGGAAGAACCAGTTTGACCATTACAGCAAGCAGGATCGCTGCTCAGACCTGTGACCCAGACGGGACCCCCACGTCTCCCCGCCCTGCTCACCCCGCCCGGCCCCCTAGCTGTATATACTTATCTAAGGGCTGGGGTATAACACGGAGGAGCCCTAGACCGTGCCCACCCAACTCCCCCCCGACTATCCCCGGAGGCTCCCCGTCCTCTGCATGTCTCGGGCCGAGCCCCTCCCCCGCGGTGCCTTCGCCCCTCTGGGCTGCCAATAAACTGTTACAGCTACAGCAGTGTGCGCGACTAGGGAGCGGGCCTCAAACACCGGGGCTGAGTAGACAGAGGGGCGGGTACGAGAGCCCTCCGAAGTTGCGGATCTCAGTAGCCGGGCGGAGCGTGCCTGTGCCCGCCCCGCCCCGCCCCGCCCCGCCGCCTCACGAGGCGGGGCTCGCGCCTGCGCAGTAGCGACGGCAGCCCGGCGCTGCATTGTGGGAGCTCCACGGGTGGCGCCTTCCCAGCGGCTACGGCTCGCCCTCAGCGGCTGCCGGGGACCAGCGAGAGAAGCTCCCCGGAGCCCGCCCGTCGGTTCTGCCTGCGGCTAGCTCAAGACCCGGGACCGAGAGGAAACGCTGGAGCCGGAGTTCCGTCCGCCCCGCCAGGACGCGTCTGCCCGGCCCCCCGCCGCCCGCCCTGGAGCTGCTGAAGGACGTCCACCTGGGCCTGGCCCCGCCCGGCCGCGGCCCCGCTCGCCTGGCCCTCCTCTCGGGCCACTACCTTTACTATCACTACGGCTGCGACGGCCTGGACGACCGGGGCTGGGGCTGCGGCTACCGCACTCTGCAGACGCTGTGCTCGTGGCCAGAGGGCCGGCCCGCGGGCGTGCCCGGGCTGGCCGCCGTGCAGGCGGCCCTGGAGGACATGGGCGACAAGCCCCCCGGGTTCCGGGGCTCCCGGAGCTGGATCGGTTGTGTAGAAGCCAGTCTGTGCCTCGACCACTTCGGAGGGCCCCAGGGGCGCCTGTGTCACGTACCCCGTGGAGCAGGGCTTCAGGGGGAACTGGAGAGGCTTTACTCCCACTTCGCAGGGGGCGGGGGGCCTGTAATGGTTGGGGGGGATGCAGATGCCCAGTCCAAGGCCTTGCTGGGAGTCTGCCTGGGTCCAGGCACAGAGGCCTATGTTCTGGTACTGGACCCTCACTTCTGGGGCGCTCCGAAAAATCCCAGGGAACTACAGGCAGCTGGGTGGGTAGGGTGGAGAGACGTACGCACAGCCTTTGACCGCAACTCCTTCTACAACCTGTGCTTGACCAGCTGCAACTCCCAGAAGCAGCAACACGCCCTGGGCTGAGGCTCAGGTCCCAGAATGGAGACTTGTCTCTGGCCCCAAACACACCTAAACCCTTTATTCCAAGGCAAAAGCTGCCTGGGCCTTTGGAGTCAATAAATTGGTGAGGCTCAGCTAATTATGGCCCCAGCCAATCTTTGGGAGAATGTGGGGAGGCACATGATAATCAATCACTATGGAAGTGCTTTTATTGGCAGTAGGGTTAAACGTACAAAAAAACAATTCTCAGCTGGATGGGACGAGGCAGTCAATTATAGACCATACCAGGAGTGAGGAAAAGTAGATGGCTCAGAAGAAGTCCACATCATCTGGAGCATCCAGGTCACGGTATTCCACAATGGCCCGTGGGTCTCCTCGGACCATCCTGTGAGAGATGGAAGATACGGTAAGATGGGAAGACAGCTGAGGGCCCCTGAAAGGGAGCTTGGAAACGGCAAGCTTGGGAAGTCTCAGCTCATTCTCACCTGTTCCGAGGCTTCCCAGGATAACCTCCTTGGCCTCGGAAGGCATCATAGTTCCCTCGGCCAGCACCATAGGGGGCATGAGGGTATGGAGGCCCTCCCGTGGGGACTGCAGGGCGGACAGCACCAGCTACACAAGAGATCAGTGCTCAGTTGAAAACCTGTGACCTCAACTACACCTTGGTTAAGCTTCCTTTCTCCCAGCCCTCACAGCCACTAAACCCTTTCAAGCTCCCCCTATACTTACCTCCATAACCCAAGATGGGGGGCCGGGGCTGACCATAGGGCATCAGGCCCTGGGGAGTCTGGTGCGGGTAGGGGAGTCCCGGGGTCAGGCCTGGGGGGAGTACAACATGGACAGGAACATGAATTACTGCGGGGAGGGGGGGGGCGGGGGAGGGGAGGACGACAGGATGGGGAATGACGACTGGCTTTTAGGAATACTGCCTGAGAGTGGGATAGAAAGTTTTCAGAGGATGACAGGATGAGAGAACCAGGAATCCCTGAATAGTCAAGGGAGAGGGAATGTGGCAGACTCTCTCAGATCGTATCTTACTCTGGGCAGGGCCAGGTGGCTGAGCTGGCTTGATCTCTGGCAGAGCTGGGCGCTTGGCATCTGTGAGAAAGTTGTTAAAAAATGCCACCTCCTTCTTCACTTCCTCAATCTTCTCTGCATGCTTGTTGAAGATATGTTTGCGTACAAACTCAGGGCCCTGGGTAAAGAAAGAGAGGGTCAGAACACAGCAAGCAATGTGGAAGGATAATCAACCTCCCCGCCCACCAATTCCAGAGCCAATTCCTCCCCAGGCCGGAGGAGGCTTCCTGGATCAACCCCCTCGGCCCACAGTTCTAACACACAACTCTCTAACATCCCAGACCTTGAATTTCTTGCCACTGAGAGGGCATAGCCACTTATCCTTGCCCAGTTCCTGGGTGTTAGAGGTGACAAACTTTTCCACTTCCTGCTCAGGGTCTTTGCGACCCATCTTCTGAGCCTCTTCCTCGGAAAGAGATTCCCGTACACTCAGCAGCGGAGTCAGCTTCTCCTCAAATGTCTTCTGCCACTCTAGCACTGTGGTTTGGGAACAGACAGCGGGCTGAAGAAGGGAGCCAGAAGCAAGGAATAAAAAGGAAGGGATAAGGGCGCCTGGCTGGCTCAGAGCATGTGACTCTTGATCTCAGGGTCCTGATTCTGAGCCCTACTTTGGGCATAAAGATTATTTAAAAATAAAATATTTAAAGAAAAAAAGAAAAAGGAGAGGGTAACAGGAAAGTGTGGGAAGGCACTGCTACCAGAACAGATCTAAGACCAGAGGCAGCTGAGGAGAAAGGGAAACCAAAGGGGAATCGGGAGTGGGGAAGCTGGGAGCCCACCTTCTCCATGACTGATGCGGTTGGGTGGCATGGGCCCCCGAACATGGATAATGCCACAGCGGTTGGGCATTTCATCCTCATTGGGGTACTCGCAAGTGTTATAATAATCCAGGGAATGCACAATGCGCAAATAGAGGAGGAGTTTGTCCAAAACCTGAGGGAAATGAAAATCTTTGAGTTCACCATACTTTTCTTGCCCCTTTGCTGCCCCAAGCTAGGACCTTGTCCGCCTGCCCTTGCTGGCACCTTGATCAGTTTTTCATCCCGCTCCACGTTGATCTCTGCAGGGTTCCCTTCCTTAGGGGGCTCCTCAGGGGGAGCGCCCCCACTGCTCCCCAGCAGCTCCTCCTCCTCTGCACTCACTTCCTCAATCAGATAGTCAGTGATATTCTTCAAGATTGGATTCTGGGAGGGCAGACTCTGGTAGGGAGGAAAAAGAAGGGCAAGTGAGATGACAAGAGAAAACTCTGAGGTAGGTAGTCCCGGAAGCTCCTCATCTGAAGCAGAAAGGAATCCAGGGTTCACGTGGCCTGTTACCACTGCTTCACTCTTTGTCTTTTTCTTATTCTATCCTAGCCAATACATCATCACTAATGCCAGTCTATTCTATCGGAAAAGCTGGAGGTGCTGCCCAGATAGAGAGGATAGGAACAAGGGGTCAATGCTACAGACAAGACCAGAGGTGCCCACAGCAGTCGACATGGTATCGGCTGCTTTTGGAAAAGTTCCACAGGGAGTCACTGACTGTTGGCAGAGGCGGTGTCCCAGGCTCAGAGGCCCAGAGCTGGGTCCTGTCATCCAGCGTATGGATCAGCTTGGCGGCCAGCTTGATGTCATTGCGCACTATCTGCTTGTGCTGGGTAATGCCATTGATGTTGCGGACTCGGCGGGTCAGGTCTCTGTTCACACCAGGGCTCAGCTCACACTCCCGGAGCTAGAGGGAACGAACACAAAGCTCACCAACACTTGCCCAAGAAGCAGCAGCTCCAGGGACTGGCCTTACTGACAGGACCAGCAACTGGACCGTGAGCTCCCTGAGAACAGGGATCAGGAGGGTCTTATTCATGGGCCCCGGTATATACTTAATGTGAGCAGACCGAATGGATGGATAAGGGGCAGAACAAGTGAATCAAAAGAACAAAGGAATCCGGTTTTGTGTAGCACAGAGAGCCCACTCCCAGCACTTACCCGGATATTCTGCAGGTTCCAACAGATCTCTTTGATGTTAACACTGCGGTCAAAGGTCACCCAGCCACGACGGAAAAACCTACAGAAGAAAAGATCAGCATAACCCTGGGGTGGAAGGGATACCGGCCATTTGCCTCCCCCTGTACCATATTTCCAGGGTTTCCAGGGTCACTCTTCTCTCCATTCCTCACCTCCTCTCAGGCTGGGGCTCTGACAGTGCCACACGCATGAAGCCTGGGTATCTTTTACAAAGCTGGAAAAACAAGAACAGAAACCCCACTGAGCAATTCAACGTTTCACTTCTTCCTCCAATCCCCATGTCCTCAGAACCCTAGGAACTGCCTTTGAATCTTTACTCAAGTAAGGAAAAACCAATAAAGGGCGTAAGAATAAGAGCACTTAAAAGCAAATGGTGCGATTGGAGCCAGCCCACAAAAGGCATGGGCCCATGGGAAGGGGTTTCCCTGTTCGAGAAGGAGGAGTATATGTTAGAAGCAGAGTCACATTATCCCCTCCCCGCCTCACCAGCTCCCCCTCCCTGCCACCAAAGATGGAGCCTGGGTGCCATTCCTGCCCCCAACACCACTTTCCCCCACTCACAGAAATGATCTCTGCCCGAGAGATGTTGGGTGCAATGTTGCGCATGAAGAGGGAGCAAGTCTTATGGAGGGGCCGAGGTTTACATTCCAACCCAGGAGTGTCCTTAGGCTTCTCCCTTTCTTCTTCTTTGGGCTTCTCCTTTTCCTTGAGTGCCTCTTCTATGCAGAAAGTGGTGGGAGTTCGTGATTTTTTATTGTTGATTTTGGAGGGGAAGACAGAGAAGCAGTCACAGTCCCAACCTCCCCTACCCCTATTCAGTGGGAAGAGAATGGACTAGAAGCAGAAAATAAAACCTACCAGCCTCCTCCTTCTCTTCCTCAGCTTGGCCGCTCTCCGACTCCGATTCCGACTCGGACACACTGCCTTCGTCAAAGCTGTCATCACCACTGT